TAGCATTTGTACCTGAAAATTGTATTGTAAGATCTTTTAATTTAATTTTGGAACAAAAATTATTTGAAAAAGAATGTCAAGATGTAGTGAATTAGTTTAAAGATGTATGGATTGGAAAATTAGACAGCATGTAGAGTTGTAATGATAACATTAAAAATGAAACAGCCCTTACGAATAACGTGGTCGAGGGATGGAACAGTGGCTTTTTAACACAAATTAAAGCCAAAATCCTTCCATTTGGAAATTTAAAAAAGATCAAAATTTACCTTCTATTAAAATTGTGAAACAGGGAAGTGGGGAGTTCTTGACTAAAAGAAATGAAATTACAATACACTCAATGAGCGATTAAAAAGGACAGTGGATGGGTTTGAAGACAGTATATGAAACGAGGAATTACACTAAAACCTAAGGAGCGTAGCCTACCTTATTTAAATATTAGTTAAAACTACAATATATTAAATGATTAGGATTCATGTATTTATTGCATCTGAATTAAAAATACTATGAAATTTAAATTTAATTGGCCGACAATAAAAATACTAGTTCTTTACTTTTTTCATTTTATGTATTTTTTTTGTGCGAATCCCCACAGGCTAGCTCAGTCAGTTTAGTTTTTTTTGTTTTTATTTTTCCTATTATATGTATAAATTTTTTTGCGGAGCATCCTGCGATGACTCTAGACCACACAAGTTAGGTAAATTAGTTATTATTTTTTAATTTTATTTAGAATATTAAGACAGTATTTCTATTTTCTTTAATATATTTTACATTAGGATTCAACAAAAAAATCGAACAAGTATTGTTTGAAATAATATTTTTCAATTAAAAGTATATTCGAACATAACGTTTTCGATTAATCGAACATAACGTTTTCGATTAAAAGTGTCTTCGAACATAACGTTTTCGACTAAAAGTATTTTCGACTAAAAGTATTTTCGAACATAAGTTTTTCGAACAACCTCTCATTCGAACAAACATATTTTCGAACTAAGGATTTTCAAACAAACGTGCTTCGAACAAGTTTTCGAACAAAATTCCGCCAACCGTAATTTTTTTATTAAGAATTGCTTCACTAAGAGAGCATAACAGAATTGACTGACCCCGGCATACACTGTCAGGGTTATGCCGACGACATAGTCATATTTGCTAAAAGCAAGTTTGGAAATATCCTATGTGATATAGTTCAAAGAAGACTAGAATATGGTGTCAATAGGTTGGACTTTTCAAGGAAAAGATATCTTTATCTTACAACCGTAAAATTAGATTGGATAGATATAAAATGGAAAAAAGAAGTCAAATATCTAGGCCTAACCCTGGACAATAAACTTCTCTGGAACATACACGAGAGGGAATTAGTAAATAAGGCCACAAAAGCCCTAATGATATGCAGAAACATTGCGGGTAAAAGAATGGGATGTAACCCGAACGTACTGCGATGGATGTATACAACAATAGTGGGACAAATCATCACTTACCCAGCTAACATTTATAGTTCCGAAGACGTAACCTACCAACCTAGTAACTACAAAGGTTACGGCCACCATCCACCGCTACCACCTAGTTACTAAGCTGCTATGTAATAGTTACCAAAGTGGGGACTGATTTTCAGGTAACCAAGTAGTTCCAGGCTAGTTATTGGAACTTCAACCGCCACTATTATTAAAGTCACAAAGTAGTGGCAGCCTGGTTATTGCTACGTAACAGCATAGTAACTGCTTCATCTCTATTGCACGTGGACGTGTTCTGACTCTCTCGTTTAAATATGTACGAATTTAATTTTTATTTAAAGTCTTGTTTAAAAGATATTGTGATAGATGGCGAGGCAAGTAGTTGATTTTGTTACTTGAAAGTAATAATATAGTAGGTATGATATTATACTTTTATAATAGCGTGTTTAAAGCTATTTGGGAATATATTTGTTTAACAAATAGTAGTTTACTGAGTAAAAAATTAAAATACTCCGAAAAAATAAAAGCGCCACCCAAATTTTAGGTTTTAAAAAGAAACATAATAATAAAATAATATTAAAATAAAAAGTAATATTAAGCACTAACATAGTCCCAAGTTGATAATAATTTCAACTTTTTGGATGCTGAATTTATTTTAAACCAATGAAAATTTTAAAATTAATCAAATTTTTATGTTAAAAAAAATGCATCTTATTTCACCTAAAATATATGGCCGAATTATAAGTTGTGACAACGAAAGATAATACTACCACTTCAAAGTAATTTTGCCTTTGTCTTTAGTAACTAACTCAAAATATTGTCAATTAAAGTAAGTGGGACTATAAAGTCAATTTTGCAACTATGCCGAAGTTACTATAAAGTAATTGCTAGTTGCCGCTACTGCAAAGTATATTCTCAGGTAACATTTACTATCCACCGACAATGACTTTAACTTACATGCTACTATAAATATAAAGTTATAATGAAGCACCCATTTAAGTATCCAATTACTAGCAGTTGTTACTTGTTAGTTAAAATTACTTTGTAGTCGCATTTTAGTAACTTTTATGGTTTCCCCTACTATAAGATGGTGACTTTAAAGTAAAAATTACTTTAAATACATTTTTTAAGTAAATTTTCGGTTATTGTAACTTCGTTGTGGGTGTTTGTATAACCATAACTACAAGCGACACACTGAGAATAACTGTTACGTTTTAGTGACTGTATCATTAGGAATATAAAGTAATTGTTACATTAAACAGGCATTTATAGTTGTAGCTACTACATATTTACTAAATTAAAGTAATAAATACTAAAGTGATAGTAATTATGACTCTCTATGCTATTTGGGTATGGAGCTGTAGCATGGAGTAACAGAACTAGTTTAGCTACTACGAGAGCTAATATCTCAAAATTACAAAAACTAGCCTGTTTGCATCACTGGTGCAATGAGAATCTGAGCTACAACTGCAATGGAGGTGATTTTAAACCTACATTTAATGATAGAAAAAAGATATACCCCAGGACAAAATGAGAAAGAAGTACAGTTTTGCGAAAAACTTCAAAACCACAGAACTGGGCTGCAAGAAAGAATGGAGCCAAATATCCATTGTGCATGAAACATGCCATTCAGTGGTATACGGATGGTTCCAAAATCATAAAAGGAACTGGAATAGGAGTGTATGGACCTAGTACCAAGCACTCCGAAAGTTTGGGAAAATACCCGAACATCTGCTAGGCGGAAATTCACACCATTGAGAAGTGTATCCAGTGCAACATGGAGATAAGCTATCGCAGATAAGAGATTATCATCATGTCTGATAGCCAAGCAGCCATCAAAGCGCTGAACTCTTACGTAATCAGCTCAAAAATGGTCTGTAGATGCCTAGAAAAACTGAATGAGCTAGGCGGGGAAAATACAGTTATTATCACAGTCCCGAGACATAACGTGGTAAAGGATAACGAGATTGCAGATAGTCTCGCAAGGAAAGGGACTCAAACACATTTTGTGAGACTTGAGCCGATCTGCGGTATCAGCAATAACATAATATTGGGAGAGATTAAAAAAGAATTGGACAGTAGAAGAACCGATAATTTTAACAATCTACAGCGGTTAAAACAGTCTAAGATACTTTTGGGTGAATATTACCAGGAAAGATCGGAAGCCTGTATCAGCCTGAGCAAGAACAGGCTACGCTTTGTAACAGGGACCTTTACCGGGCATTGCGACTCAAAGGGCATCTTAGCAAACTGACAGTAGTAGAAGATAGTGAATGCAGATTCTGTGCGGAGGAGGATGCAACCTGCATTGACATTCTGATTGAATAGGTTGTGCAGCACTCCAGAATCCAATGGCCCTATACTTAGGAGCATACCAAATAGAAGAGGTCGATCTACCTAACTTGAAGCCACTCCGAATCTTACATTAGCAACAGAAAGGGGCACAACAGATCTTTTAGGTCGCAGCCCATACCCAACATAACATAAGAGAGCATAATATTTGTGCGAATCATAAAAAGCATGTTTCAGGATTCGGTGGCAGCGTCCTCTATAAAAACTGTCTAGTCAAAACGGCAGGAAAAACTTTTGCTTACCAGAGTTTCAGATGAAATCAAAAAGGGAAAATTAATAGCTGTTTGTGTATTAAAAGCAGTCGAGACAGAAAGTTGTCGAAACTGATATTTTCTACGATCACAGCAAAATAAAATAAATAATTAAATTTTTTTAAAAATGGGTTACCTTATTTCGTTATAATATTGTAATTTTATTTGACATAAGCCTATTGTATTTAATTCAAATGAAAACAGGCAAGCATGTGCCAAATTTACTTTGACGCACGTGTGCGCCAATAATGTCAAATTATGACAATTCGCGGAAAACTTCAAAAAATAGTTTCTGTGCTTGTAGAGCATAATGTACCATTTCTGTCAGAAATCGTTAAAAAAAATTTTGAATTTAATCGTATTAAAACGGATGATGCCAAAGAAGGTTAGAGGGATATTGGCAGTTGTACAAAGTTTTTAACCGAACAAACTCTAAAATTAATGGAAACAAATGAACACCCATTTTAAATTACCACAAGCCACCACTGCAACAAAATTTGATTTTTGAAATTAGATACGACGTTAACGGGTAATCGAAGATGTAATATTTTTTCTAAAAAATTATTAGTTAATAAAAACTGTCACAAAAAAATTGATTATTTATTTTGAATTTTCTGAAATATCTTATGAAACATTTAGGTAAACAAGATAACCTGTCGCGTAAATATGTCCAGTTTTTAAACTTTATACGGTCTTTTCAATAAACCAATAAATTGCCATAACCTTTTTTCAAATAAAAAAGGTTAACATTTTAAACTAGACAAAGTAGTAGAAAGAAAACAAGCTAATATAAAAACTGCTCATTGTCAAGTAGGAAAGCATATTTGTTCGGTAACTTTGTCACTACGTAAAATGGAATTTAGAGCTTTTATAAGTTCGTTGACAATTAAATGATTATAACGACCATAGCAAAAAAAAATACATACATATAAATGCAATATTTACTAACCTTTCAGGTGTACTAACTGGCGTTGAAGGTTCAGTAGACATTTTCTTAGCAGGAACTGAAACAAAGAGAAAAGTATAGTAGCCTAATTAACAAAGCATCTTTTAAGTATTTACAGACCTGTAAATCCTTAAACATTGAAATATCAACGTTGATTTAGAGGAAAAGTAGAGTTGGGAAATACCGTGATTTTTAAATCACCGTGAATCGTTGTTAGGTTGAATATCAGTGATTAAATCACGGTTAATGAAATATCTCTCAACTCTATAGAGATTCATATACTGATCTCTAACTTACAGATACGTTTGAATTAGGCTATAAGCTCAATCGTCTAATCAAAATTGTAAATAAGACAAAATGATCGAGTATTTGAATTATCTAGTTTCTACAATCACTATCCAAAGTAGGTTTTGCGCTTCGAAATCATCCTTCTTAGGTACTCACTTTTCTTATAACACGAACTGCAACTATTTGAATTTCTTTCTCATGTCGAAAAACATTGTATGTTGCAGACAAATTATTGGTATTTAATAAATAAAAATTAATTTCTAGAATATTTTCACAATATACTTAGATCTTAGGCGAAATTAAATTTCGGTTATAACCAATACCTACTATACTCAGTTTTTAAACTAGGAGGAGCGAACTGAAAAGACGTATTTACACAAGGAAAAGAAACTAGATTCGTTACTAAGAGCGTGTTCCGAAATATAGTCGTGTTGAAAATTTGTTATTATCGGCCCTAGTCAGAGAACGGCCAATGAGGGGTTAAGGAACAAATAAATGTCATAGGAGTCGATTTTTTTATTGGTTCCAGACAACGCTTGTAAAGAAAAGTGTGTCTAAAACGAACTGTCACTGTCAAATGAAATTTAATATGGTTGTTGATTTGTTGACGTTATCAGAAATAAGTTTTTCTTGCTTTTAAAATCGAATTTTTGAGGATAACTATGATCTTTTTAAAATGGATATTAAATATTTAAGAAAATTGTTAAAAGAATATCAAGATGCGGGTTAGTATAAAATATAAAAATATGATCGTTTTATATTTTTAAGGATATATTTGTTATAGCTATAAACTTAAGTAAAAGGTAATCAGTGAATGGAAACTGGATCACAAAGTGACTATGAACAATATGGACGTTGTAGCTTATTTAGTGTTAACCCATAGTTAATACACTAAAGGGCAAATGAAGGCATTCAAAAGTGTACAGGCCTATGAGTCAGGATTTGTTTTGAACACTGGAACCAACATTTACATAACACTACATATCAACATTATATCATTACTAAAACTTAACTTAATTGTAGGTCCTTTTAATTCTAGTTGTAATTTTTACCGATATTTTTTAATTTAAAGTGAACTATTTATACATACCTATATATTAATGTTGAGTTAGATATTTTTAAAATGGTTATTGTGGAAGTAATGAGCTCATCATGCTAAATTAAAATTATCTAATGTAGTAGATGATGTTTTAAATGTAAATTATCAATTTTGTAAAAGGTTTTTATGGTTTATTTTTTATCGTTTTAATAAATAAAATTTACCTAAATATTAAGTTACTTTTTAATCATTTTGGTAAGAAATTATCAATTTTTAGTTTTTAAAAATCAATAATAAAGTTGTTATTAGTCTTTTCTGGAATACTTCGGAATTCATCTCTTCATGGTAATCTCCCTTTTTTTGCCTTCAAAACCAATAATGCATTTTCTACAAAACCTTCAGAATCAGCATGTAAAATAATAAGTCGTCTTCCCTTACATGTAGGGCTTTTCAGGAATTGCTACCCTTAATAGTACTCGACGAAGAAGGATCCATAATCGTAGAAATTTAATACAATTGAAAATAACTATTATTAACGAAATAAAGTAAAAAACTAAGTAATATTGTGATGTTTGTTTACTTTAAAACAACAGTTTATTTATTAATAATTTATTTAAAAACTAATTTATTTTATAACACAACTATTCTAATTTATATATACTTCGAATGTCTTTAAACTGATCACTATTTATATTCACCACTGTCTATCTACTAATTACTATTTATCTTCACTGTCCATATAATAACTGACTGCACTGTGTTCTTCCACCAATATTTATATACAAATTTCTAAAGTTTGGTGGAGTCTAGAAGCTCCTCCACCAAACTAGAAATATTTGGAACAGACCAGAAATATTATCTCGTCCTTTCTCGAATAGTCATCGAAATCACCTCCGCCATAGTCGTCCCATAGGTTTGGTCTTAAGGGGTTTAATTATGTATAATAATCGGACAAGTTGAGCCTCAAAGGCCAAATAAGACAGAGGGACTTGTAGGGTTAGAGCATGACTGAATAATGAAATGGCTCACATAACAATATAGATGAGATATCAAAATATAAAATGTCAGAACTGTCAATAATATCAATTATTATTAGCTGATGTTAATGCTAAAAAGTGATGTGTGAGACTGACTGCAATCTGACCAATCAGAAGTCTACAGAATTGCCAACCTAAATTTAAATCGCTTCTCCTAGTTTAAAAACAGAGTATAGAAGCATTGTGATGATCACAAGGTTGGCAATACATCAAACACAATACTTTAAATGAAATGTCATTTGATAGTATCCGTTCTGAAAAACAATTTTGTGCAAATAATGGTGAGTAGTGAATAGATATCAAAGTGTAAATAACCCTGCAGCAAATACATGAGAAAATGGCTCTGAGCCAGTTTTGATAATTTTTTGGAATATTGTAGTAAAAGTCACTAAAAGCTACATGTACAAGTTTAAATCAGTTTCTATTTCTAGTTTCGGAGATACGAATTTTTGAAAATCATTAAAATTGCTGTTTTTTAAACATTGTAAGGTTCACTTATCAAAAAGTATTACTTTTTAGACGATTAGTAACAAAATAATAGCATTACTAGTTTAACACATTAACTGCCAGGCCTCTTATGGAAAAAAATTGTACCAGGTCCTGTGGGCCACGCAAGTTTTTTTTACAAAGTGGTTTATTTGATTTTTTCCATTAAGTTGACTATGTACTTAAAAATAAGAAAAATAAACATTTTTTTCTATAACCTTTATTTTTTGTTGAATTACAAAAAAAAATTAAAAACCGGGTAATAATACTATATAGTACACTCCCACGCCAGACCGAACGATACATGCATTTAAATCAACGCTAAGTACGGCCGAGAAACTTATAATGCATGTGTCCTCGTAAGGTACATATCGTTGGCCTAAGATGCAAATGACCTAACTCCTTAAATATAAATTATTCAGGAGAAGCAAAAAACATCTCAGACCTAACCTTAATATAAAGGAGTTACAAAAAATGTGTCATTTAATTTTTGGTGCGAATATTTAAAATAGACATGGTAGGCGATTTAGAATCGACAGTATAGATCTTTAATCAACGGATAGCCAATAAAACGTATTTTCGGTAAAAAGTGGAGTTAGACCATTTGCATCTTAGGCCGACGATATGGCGGCGCACAGTAAAAATGAGCTGTGTCCAGAAATGGTACAAATGGCAGTTAACGTGTTAAAGGAAGTCAGATGACATGTCAGTCAGTCGTTAACATAAAAGAAGCCGCCTGTTATAAAGAGCATGTCGAATGTAGCGACAATTTAACATATTTCGCCAACTTTTATCATTGGTCCCAATTAGTGGAACTAAGTTTTTTTTCATTAAAATATCTTTATTAGGACTCTTTTCTTACGATAAGAATAACTTTTTTTATAACTTTAAAATTTCTTCCTAAATACAATTTTTTTTTTAAATTTTGTTTTTTAAACTTCATGTTTTTAATATGAGTCAGTTATTAAAAAAAAATTAAAAATTATAAAACTGATGTCCTCGTTGACAGTTCCTTGAATATAGGCAACACATACGTAAATCAAGTAGGTATACACTAAATGTGAAATTGTAATTTATTATTTTGACGTTTTATAGTAATCAATTGTGTTTTTAATAATTGTACTATTAATAAATAAAAATATATGCAAAGTTTCAAACAAAACTATTTTCGAGAAAATCGATAAATTTATTCGCTTATAAAAGAGGTCTTGTTATATTACCACCCGAATAAAATAGTTTGCTATGGCTTCTATTGGTTTTGTTATTTGCGGGACTAACATTTTAATCCCTTGTGACTAAAGTATTTTAGTCGCAAGGGAGTAAAAGTGGCACTTCAGTCCCTAAAATGAGGTAGTAAAATGCATGTTTTAGTCCCTTAGGTACAAAAAATATTATTCCTCCTAAATCATTAAAGGCAGAATTACGCGTAATAGCAAGGCAAAATAAAAACAAATTCAAAAAATATATTATAGATGAAATGGCCCGAAAAAAATATATTGAAATTCTCAGATTGCCTCCTTACCACGCAGAGTTAAATCCCATTGAACTGATCTGGTCACAATTAAAAGGTTTCTCGAAACACTACATTTAAATTATCTGATGTGCGAAATTTGTTTTTGAATGCAATTTCAGATGAAAATGGAGAATATTTTAGAAAATGCACTGATCATGTTAAAAAGGTGGAAAATTCATTATGGAAAGTGGATGTAGCAATGGAAAACTTAAAAGACCCTATAATAATAAACCTCAGGAAGGACAATGATGATGATACCAGTATAGTAAAGAAAGTGACTTTGAAATATAGTTGTTGAACTTTTTATTTTTTTAATCTTTATGTTTGTCTTTATCTTTATCGGTTGTAAGCAGGTAGGGTTAGATTTGGCACAGAACACTGCGGCCTCTTGGGTGTATTGTATTCCCCTGCTTTCCCCGTATTCAGGTACTATCTTTGGAATAGTCCTGTGTCTTTGGTTAGTTTTAATAGGTACCCTACCAAGTGTTCCTGGGGCGTTCTTTCCGGTTCTAGGCCGAAAAGGATGAAACGTCGCCTAGTAAGAGCTTCGCATTCGAAGATCACATGGTATGAGTTTCTTCCTCTTCCATGCAGAGTCTACAATTAGTGGGATCATTGTGTAATCCCATCACATGAAGGTGTTTCAGAAAGCAGTGCCCCGTTAGTAATCCTACAATGGTGGATATCATTGCGAG